TACTCAACTCTCGTGTCAAGTGTCCTACTATTAGCACCGCATCTCAAGACACGTGTCCACCCGTTATCACCCCATGTCTGACTCATTGCATTTTGTGGCGCGCAGTCATCCCATGCAGACCTATCGGACAACACCGCCCGCACCGCCGCCATCGCCGGTGGCCGACGACAACACCGCCGGACAGACAATGATATTAGCGGTCGGGAGTGAATCGCCAGCGATGGCCACCGAAATGATAATAAGGAGCGACTCGTCGACTGCGGCGGCGATGAAGAGGAAGAGTTGCGAAGAAACGGAAGAGGATGTGAGGCGAGAGGAGCGGAAGCGTCGGAACCGCGAGTCTGCGGCCAAATGTCGCAAGAAGTTGAAGGAACGGATGGACTCGTGTGAGCGCGACGTCCATCTACTCAGACACCGGAACCAAGCCTTGCGTAACGAGAAGTCTCTCATTGAACTCGAGTTCCGGAATTTGCAACAAGAGTTTGGCCGACACTTGCAGTGCGACCGACACTTTGCCGGACAAGTGGTGACCGCCGGGCCGTTAAGGACGCCGCCCAACATTGCTGCGGCCGCAGCCATGTCTTCCAATAACGGCTTTTCCGATCACCCGCTCATGCATTTGGGGTAAGTTATGGGACACACGAATGGGTGATGTTTTTGATGCAAAAATAATTGATTTGTATTTTGTTTTTTATATCCAATAGAAAGAGACAATCGTTTGAATTGAGTTAAACGAGAGGAAGTGGTTGACAGCAAAGAAGTGATTGAATACATATTTATTTCATTAATATAAAGCGTTTGACACCAAAATACTTAAACAACACATTTATAATCAAATTTATTTTTCTTATTTACTTAATTAGTTTCGTCTGTTTTTTGTCATTAAATTATATAATAGTTTATCATTTATAGTGTTTCATAGCTTTTATGATAAACAAATTTAATTGTATTTTTCGTAACATATTTTGTATTGTATTTAAAAAGCTATTTATTTATTCAATTAAATGATATATTGTTTGTTTGGTGTTGTAATCCGTTTTGTTTTGGGGATTAATTAGTGAGTAGTTTTCATTGGCAACAGATTTCAGGCTTTGTTTTAATTGATTGCATTGTTAACAGCAATTAAAAGCCCAAAAATAATGAATTAAAAACATTTCATATATTAATGACAATTAGAGAACTCATCTTCAAATCGGGACAAATTGATGGCAAAAAATGAATTGTTTTGTTTAGTCGTGTTATTAAATCATAATTAATATATCGATTCAATGGATACGTTAAGTGTTTGGTTAAAAAGTGATTGAGAATTAAAGCTGATTTACGATTAGGAAAATGCAAATCAATAGTAAGTATATGTATAATATTGTTGGCAGTCATACAAAAACAGCAGTGTTTGCATTCAAATGTTTAATCGCTAATGAATTTCACTGACATTTCAACGACATAATCAGTGGTCCTAAACATCAAAACCGATAGTAAAAGTCAAAATACCATTCAATCGGATTATTATTGTGTTTATAAAAGCGAGACAAACAAACAGTCAAAACCCAATTGCAAAAAATTTAAAAAAACATTTCAAATGTTATCAAAATCATAAAAAGTGTCATTACTATAGCAAATAAATAGCGAAATCGCAGCAACGTTTGAAATTAAAATTATAAATATAAATTGATATTAAAATCAAAGCCAAACAACACATACAAAGCGTAAATATTCTTACAGAATATTCCGGACGTTAAAGCAAAAATGGTTTAAATAGCATTTGCAATGCAATGTGTTTTGTCTGTATATCATAACTAATTATGTGTCGGCTATTGATTTATAAATATTTTGTTTATAATTTATGTATTATAAATATTTATATAATAATAATAAAAGTAATTATAATTTATAATAAATGTGCCGATAAACTAGGTGAGATAATTGTCGGCCAACAAATAACAATTGATTGGCCGCCAAATTCAAACTCTCCGTAATTATCACTTTAACTGACCGTGAAATTGAAGACCCCGTTGGGCACGACTTGTCCGCCGTATTTCACTTCGATGGTATAGTCTCCCGGCTCCTGAACCTTATACTTGACACTATAGGTGCCGTCGCCGTTGGCCACCACTTTGCAGTCGATGTTGTCCTGCACTTCGCGAGATGTGGCTGTCTTTGTCTCACGTTTGGTGGTCTTTATGATACGAGTGCCGCCGTCTGGCAAAGTCTCATACCTTTCGGTACTCGACTCTGACGTCTCCGATGACGACTGGGTTCGGGTCACCCGACAGGTCACGTCTCCATTGCCGCCCGCCTTATCGGTCGCCACTGTAATAGTTGTCTCCTCATTGGCCGCCAGTTTGTCCTTAAATTTGCCTTAAGATCATAACAAATGAGCTTTGATTTCATAATGAGTGCAATGATTGTAATGCGAGTGTTGTTAATATACAGTAATTGTATAAATAATATTATTTTGAATTTATTGCGTTAATTGGCAAGAATGTAACAATCTTGATAATTTGATAATTGTTTTACTATATTCTGTAATCATGTGTGAAATACTAAATAATTATCATTAGAATTGATTTAAAATTAAGATTAAATTATTCTCGTTCTTATCAAAAAACACTAACAATAAAAATACATTTCAAAACAAAAATCAAAGATTTGGGTGTAATTTGAATGACATTTTCTTAAGCTTTATGTCATATATTATTGACTCTCTCTCTTTCTCTCTCTCTCTCTCTCTCTCTCTCTCTCTCGCTTCGAGATCATAATCGACAGACATTTGGCGCCTATTCTTAAAATACACGCATATTTCTTGTGATGAATTGCTTATTAGTATCACATTTACTGACAAAGTTTTTTCCCCCAATTTTTTTATGATTTAACGCTACGATTGATATGTAATCCCACGACAAAAGCAGTTCATTATGTAAAAGTATTTAAATGTGAATCAAAAATTATCAGATTGTATGCAATCAATTATAGTTTATAAGCAAATCTATAGTAAAAATGTACACACATTCCCAATCGGCTACAAAACGTTAAATTATCTTAAATAATCTTAAGATATAATAAGTTTTTGAAACTATTTGTTTTGAAAAAACGAGATTTGTTTACTAGTATTTATTAATAATTCAATGATAATACCTAATCGTTATTAGAGTAACTGAAACACACAGACACACACACCATTACCTAATAGATTAAAATCTGACCAATTTTATTAGTGTGTTTTTATGTGTGAGCACACAAATAAATCGTCAAAAACATGCATATTTTTATTTCATTTCAATCACTGGTTTGTATTGAATTTCTTATGAGAATAAGTTATATCCCATAAGATATGATTGAAAGGAATATTTTGATCACTAAATGCTGGGATAAACACATTCTTTGCCCTCATATGCCATAAAATATTCTCATTTGTTCAACAGTTTGCACAAAAAACAACACATAATTATAATGCAAATTGTGTGTAAAACTATTTTTGAATATTTTTTCCAGGGATAGAGAAGGGATGTGTGTTTGTGCTGCAAAAGTTTACACATAATATTTAGCTTAAAATTAATGTAATTTACCTTTAATTTGAATTTTGTTCACATCTCCGGTGGGCTCGGCCTGCACTACGATCGGTGGACAGACCTCTTCGCCGTCATATTTGACCGAAATCTGGTGTTCGCCGACATCTTCGGGCAAATACCGAATCTTATAAGTGTTGTCGTGAAAGTCGGTCTTCCAGTACTTCATAGGTTTCTTATTGGGCCCCATTGAGTAGATGGACGTCGCGCTCACACGAGTCCATCCGTTCCTTCAACTTCTTGCGACATTTGGCCGCAGACTCGCGGTTCCGACGCTTCCGCTCCTCTCGCCTCACATCCTCTTCCGTTTCTTCGCAACTCTTCCTCTTCATCGCCGCCGCAGTCGACGAGTCGCTCCTTATTATCATTTCGGTGGCCATCGCTGGCGATTCACTCCCGACCGCTAATATCATTGTCTGTCCGGCGGTGTTGTCGTCGGCCACCGGCGATGGCGGCGGTGCGGGCGGTGTTGTCCTATAGGTGTGTATGGCATGACTGCGCGCCACTAAATCCGGGATGACTGACATGGGGTGATAATGTGTGGACACGTGTCTTGAGATGCGGTGCTAATAGTGGGACACTTGACACGAGAGTTGAGTACAAAAGTGGTTTCAATTGAGTTATAATTCAATGGCATTGCATTGCAATCGATGTGTCATTTGAACCGTTTGTTCGCTCAATACTGCCATACATTCAATGCACTCAACACTGCTTTATGTCTTATGGCTGCGAGAGATATGAATATTTTTTCGATCCCTTCATATATCGTATGATTCAATAATAATCAAAACTTTTTTAGCACCAAATCTGCACCAATCCCTCCCCCTCTCCCCCACCCCCTATCCATCTCACTGTACGTACAGTTTGAGTACATGACCCACAGTGTGTGCACTCTGCCATTGGTCAAAACTGACCTTGGTGAGTGGGCACACATGCACACCACTTACGGTCTATTATAATAGTCATAGCGTATATGTATTGTACTCACCGTTCAGTCAATAATTTGTTTCAAAAGTTTGGAAACTTTTTAGACACACGTATCGTTCAATTTTTCCACAACAGGTTCATAAAAAAGTGCATAATTTTCATATGGCTTTCAAAGGGCGACGTTTAGAGAGTGGGTGGGGGGTGAAGCTAAACACTTTTGGTCATTTGGA